TTTGCAAAAATCTTTCAGATGAGGTAAATTCTGCTGATCCTCTGACCCTAGTTTGAGTTGTAACATTTGAACAGTGATCATTAACATGTAATATTAGAGTGCTTACATTAAAGTTATCTACATCGATTGTTTAATATTTAGATTCCCAGAACACAATAAATGTTCCAAATTAGATCATTAAGCAGAGGAAATAAGCATTTTAGACACATAGTTACTATATGATTCTCATGCACATTAAATTGAAAAACATTATGGTTGGGGGGCAGGGATTGAAGGAAAAGAGTCTTAAAAGTGATTCTAGCAAAAGTGTGAATTAAAAGCGATCTTAAATCTCTTATTTAGAAATTTAAATTTTATTACATAGTCAATGGGGAGACAATCAAAGTTTTAAGCACAGCACTGACATCATAGATTTGTGTTTTATACACATCATTTGGGAAGCAATGTAAAAATAAATGAGGGCATAACAGTACATCTTATATAGACTTTTCTTACTGACAAGTAAAATTGATAGAATGGAATAATATATATGACATAACTGTTCTTGGCTAGTGAAGAACACAAATGAAGAGCTGTAACCTTTAGGAGAAACTAAAGATACAAAGAGGGTCCCACAATATCCCATGATTGCCTTGTCTTTCCATTGAAATACTTTTCTGACACAGGGCATAAGACGGACGGACAGTCAAAAGAATACAGTTAAGAGTAGTGAATACAGTTCTGATATTATGAAGTGGTAATAATTTGTAGTGCAGAGTAGCTGAGAAGATGAAGCTGCATAGAGAGATGACTGCAGAAATGTTCTTGGAGATTGCCATAGGTGCTTAAGTTGGACCACACAGGCAAAGAGAAAAACTTTCTTGATGAATGGTGAGAATAGTGGAGGTCATATAGTACTGGGAAATTTGGGGGTTCTAGCAAGCCAGAATGGAGAGGCTTCACTGAGTAGTTTGGACATTCAGGTGAGATACCACAAACCATGTATTAAGAGTAAGGACCATGGCCAAAAATGAAGATCATATCTTGGAATAAGAAGTATGTCAACTTATCCCTGCTGTATAAAATTGGTCTTCTATATCTGTTGCTTTCACATTGGTGGAGTAAATGCACCATGGAATAAACGTATTCTAAAAAGAATTGAGTCTGTCCAGAACAAGTGCAGACATTTTCCTTAAACAATACAATCTAATAGCTATTTCCACAGCATTAATATTGTAATGGGTATTATAAATAATCTAGAGAGAGTTAAAGTATACGGGACAGTATGAGTAGGTTAAATGCAAATGTTGTGCCATTTTATATTTATTTTTTACTTTATTTACTATTCCTTTTTATATGGGATACTTGAGCATCCATGGGTTTTGGTGTCCTGGAATCAGTCTTCAGCTGATACTATGGGACAATAGAAGCATAGAAATATGGCTCAATGAAAACTTAATTTTGTTCATTGTTTCTTCAGGACATAGGAAAGTGGCTGATTTATACCAAGTACTCTAATAAATCCTTTAAGAATGAAAAAAAGTATTCCAAGAGACTGAGTTAAAAACAAAAATAGACTCATTCTAATAAAATAAATCATCAATACTGACTAGCTCAAATATATTCACTAAAATGCATACCAAAACCAAAAAGCAAAAAAGAAGAAAAGAAATTCAAAGCCCTTTAAAGGAATATGTGATGAATATTTCTTGTAACATAGAGTAGAAATGTGTAACTTGCAAAAAAAAATTTAATACATACACAAAGAAGCAGTCAACACAAAAAAGCATTCAGCAGAAACAAACACTGACCTAATCCAGATGTGAAAACAACAGATAGGGCATTTGAAGTAATCACTGAAATAGGTTCAAAAACTTGAAGGAAAATAGAGAGGACCACTAAGGGGAATGAAGAAACTTCGTGGTTTTCCAATGTGGTATTATAAAACTATCGAAAACCATGCATGCGATGATGGCTGTAGGAGCATATACCATTTGTATATTTACCATTTTTGTATTAAAACTATGCATTTCATTGTGCAAATTCTATGCCTTAATAAACCTAACACCAGTATAAAAATGTCTACCAAACCAAAGCAAAGCAAGAAGAATTAAGATTAACCATACACATGGCATTAAAAAAACAAAATATCTGATCTGTTCTTACTAATTTGATCAGAGGATGATGTCATTGGTGGAAAACACCTAGTCAAAAGACAGGACAAATATGCCAAGGTGTACAACTGAAAGAACTACTAATGTGGCCAATAAAGATATGTGACAGTTACATTATTTACTTCAAGTATTCTGAACAAAATAAATTTCAATTGTGATATTTTTAAAAATCTAAATATATGTAGAAATAATTATACTGTAAGCATAAAAAATATTACAACAAAGAAAGGGGAGGATAGGCTGAGAAGCTCCTGCAGATTAAAGGAGATTATAGAAATAAGAATGCTAAAAATGCATGATTCTGGATTGAATTCTAAGCTTGAAAAAATTTTATTAATTGTACAATAAAAAATTGGTCAAATTTTGATTTTATGATGCTATGTGAATATTGTCACATTGATGCTAATTTTTCTGATTGTATACTTGCACTGGAGTTATGTAAAAGTGAACTTCTTGTTCTCAGAAAATAAAACTTAAAAGTCTTTAGTGGCAGTAGTGCATGTTATTTGCAATTTAGTTTCAAAATGACTCAAAAAAATAGAATAATAATGGAAATGTGATAAAATGCAAATAATTAGTGACTCTGGGTAAAGTGTATACAGTAGCTTATTATAACATTTAAATTTGTAATAATATTTTTTAAATTATTAGAAATTTATGTGTGAAAAGAACTGGAGTCTAAAATTAGACACTTATTTCAGGAGGTCAGCCGAGGAACAATTAAAACTGATAGTGTGAATAACTATTTTGTATTAGATTTCTGTTTAAAGCTCAATGGTAACTTTAAGTTTTTTATATATATTAAGGAATACGCAGAGTAATCAGATATTCTATTATGGTCTTTTATGAATGTTTGCCTACTTTGTTTCCCAATAATCTAAATTCATTTAAACTTCCTCTGAAAATGATATAGTCTGCCCAACCTTTTGTAAAAGATAAAAAAATATGAAATAGAGCAAAGGGAACTCTAAATAATGGAAATTTAGTTTTGAGAAACAGATTCAGAAGGAATACATTCTCTAAAGATTGTAGCACTAAATAATTCAGAACTCATGGCATGCAGGTACCATGCTAAAACTAAATAAAATGAACAAATACAGAGAGAATCTCCCAAACAGACTCAGAATTTATGGTCTCCCATACTGCCTTAGCTACTCATCACTAGTTTCCTATTTCTTGGAGCTCTTTTACTTTTGCTTTCTGCCTTTTGGTAGAGAAGCCAGCATCAGATATTATTTGTTGCATCTTGAACTCAGCTTCCATTTGAGTTTAGCTTGATTAGCAGATATTAAAGACAATTTAGCACTTCACTGTAGCTTTCTCCCATAAGAAATCAGGATTGACTAGGCGTTGACTGGGTATGAAAAGAGATCAGCTTCAGAGTGTTGCACTATGAATCATACAAATACAGGAATCTTCCCCTACAATATAAACTCTTAAGAGATTGGAGAAGGAATGCAGTGCAGAAGAATCTGGATATAAGCAAACAGCTGCCCCCTCCTACACCTGTACACACAAAGCTGAAATAAATTCTGTCAGATTTACATGAAAATAAGAACAAAGTATACAGTATTAAACCATACTAGATTTAATCATTGTTCTACTATGAACTAGATATTTAACTAATCTTCTACAAAATAAACTCTAATATGCATCTTACAAAGTTTTTTTTTTAATTTAATTTAATGATTTTGATTGTACTAGAGTTTGAACTCAGGGCTTCCTACTTGCTAGGCGGGCACTTTATCACTTGAGCCACACCTCTGACCCTGTCTGTTTGTTCTGACTATTTTGGAGATATGGTCTCACTTTTTGCTCAGGTCAGTCTGAGCTACAATTCTCCTATGCTTCCCACTGTCACTGGGATGACAGACATGCACCATCATGCCCAGTTGTTGTTTTTTTTTTCCATTGAGATTGGGTATTGCAAACTTTTTTTGCCTGAGCTGGCCTAGAAGCTCAATTCTACCAATTTCAGCCTCTCATGTAGTTTGGGATGACAGGTGCATGCTACCACTGCTAGTTATTGGTTGAGATGTAGTCTCACTGTTTGTTGGGGTTGGCCTCCAAATCTTATCCTCCTTATCTCAACCACTTAGCTAGCATTACAGGCATGAACCACTGGTGTCTAGCTATTTTAATACATAAAGAAATAATGTACATTAAACTTAGTATGGCATTTAGTTCAGAATAAGCACAGAGTAAGTAGAAACTTGTTATAATTAGAGAATGAGGGATTTGTATTATGTAATTTGCATATTATATAAATTTATATAATTGATGATCTCAAGGGTCAATTCCAACAGTGAATATCCCAGTTTGTTTGATCTACTTTTATGTTGATTCTATCTGGTATTGAGATTTGGTCAGAACCAGGGCCCAATGAAAGGAAACAGACAACTAAAGCAAAGGTGGACATAAAAGAAGGAAAATGAAGAGAACTCTAGAGATATTTTATTAAGGAAAACTTCAAAAGGAAGTTCCTTTCTATACAGAGGCAGGTTGGTGTCCTGGTGAGGATATTTGGCAAAGTAATAGACTAGACTGGTCTCAAATCATGGCTAAACACTGGCTAACTACTAACCTTGGGAGTAATAATTGTATTTACTTAAAGGGTTCTTGTGATAATTAAATGAGTTCAACCCAGAAAATCTTACATGTGTCTGGTATATAGAAGATACTTGATCATTAAAGAGAAAGAAGTCCTTCCTGTAATTCAATGTGTCTGGTCACTCTGAAAATTCTTCTTGATTACTTATTGCTCTGCCATCACCCCCAAAATGAGAGTCTAAAGATACACACCACCCTTGGTTTTAATACAGTATTTAGGGAAATAAAATGTCATACCATGTAAACTGCTAAATGCAATGCTGTAAATCCATTTCTTGTCAGTCTAGATAGGCGAAGTCCTTTTAACATAAGGGTTCGAATATGTGACTTGTTACCTTAGAGAGAAAAGCGAAGGCTAAATCATTGTGGGGGTGGACGAAATAACTTTAAAATCTCTCTTTGATTTAATGATAAATGTCATTCTGATGCTTGAAAATCAGAACCTGTCAGGCTGATGTTCATAGGCAGTTTGTAAGGTTTTCTATTAATTGATAGCTTTACTTAAAAGTGAACATTTTATTACACTTATAAAACTTTGTATTAAGTCTGTGTATATGGATGCATTTGTCTTGAATGTTTTATTTAGAGCTCTCATCATGAAATGGTTTGCAAACATATAACCTGAATAAATTTATATTAATAAAGTCTTAGTGGAAAAGGTAAGATGAAAATCTAGTTGTAGGGACTGGAGGTGTGGCTTAAGTGGTAAAGCACCTGCTTTGCAGTGGGAAGCCCTGAGTTGTAGAGGATTCCTCAGAACATCATTAGCAGTGGAGCTTACTTAGATGAAATAAATATGGAGACTATAACCAAGTTTGGGTAGGTATGTTTAAATAGGAGGATAACCCATTAAGGAAAGACTGTTTAGTTTGCTTAGAATGGCTAAAGAATATGGTGAGAGTTGATACTTATATAATAATACTATGCTGTTAGTATATAATAATATACTAACAACTGATTCAGCCCAACTGATTCAGCCCAACTGATTCAGCTTGATTAATAAAATAAATATTAAGTATTCATTCGTTAATTCAGTAATTTATTGAGTGATTACCATATGCCAGGCGCCATTCTCGACACTTAGGATACATTAATAAACAAAACAAAATATGAGCCAAATTAAACTCTTAATCATCACTTTCGGTTTTTGTCTTTGGCATATATGACTCACTATGTACTCTTGCTGCCTCTTGTTAAGCAACTGATGAATATTGTGGGGAACACTTCAAGTGACTGTGAATTTAACCTTACCCCTAACTGGCTCATTTAATAGTGCTTTTTTCATTTCCAAGCAAACTAAGTGACTTGGTTTAGGGTAGGAACACATGAAACTGAAACTCAGAGACAAATGATAGGGAATATCTGCCTGGTGCTTACTGCTTCCACTGAAAGTCATCAGGCTTAGTGGAGGCAAAGCAAAGAGAAAAAACTGAGTATGAACAGAGTTTTCTTGTAAACTACTGAGCACTCAAATTGGTGATCATATGTACACATAACCACTTTAAGAGGTATCAAGTTTCAAGTACCTACCTCCACAAATGCAGCATAAATGCAGAAGAGACAGACCGTTTTCAGTGCGGTAATTCAAGTTGACTTTACTGAAGGCTTCATCAGAGCTGGAAAATTATGTTATAGATGGTTACAAGTTTTGTCTTTTGGTGTATCATCTGTATTTATGGAAGAGAATCTTGTTATTATAAATTCAGGAATATATTTTTCTAGAATTCTTTTGCACCTAGAGAAAGAATTTTGAATCTTTTATAGGAAGAATTAAAATTGAATAAAGATGATATTAAAAGTTCAAGAGATCGAGTTTAAATTAAAGACTCTCATGCCCACTCTGTGTTCTACATAAAATTTGAACTTCCCAAAGTACCATGATAAACAAAAATTATGTGTAAAAAGAAAACATACATAAATGAAAGTAAGCTCATTTCTCTCACACTTAAAATTTCACATTATATTTGTGGACAAATTAGGAAAACCTTGAGTGAAAGGAAGGAAGAATAAAGGAAAGAAGAGAATAATGGAGGAAGGAAAGCAGGGAGAGCGGGAGAGAGGGAGGGAGGGAGAAAAAGAATGATGAAAAGAAAAGGTACTACAATATTTACTAAAAGGTTGGAGAAAGGAATGTAATTCAAATGTATTACAATTTCTGCCTGAAGCAAAGTTTCCCTGTACTCTGACTGGGTCAGATTCCACAGATAAAGAAGGTTTGAACTCTGGTAAGGCACTGTGATACAGACCCAGGTGAGAAGAGGAGTGATTGGATTAATGAATTCCTTGCCTTTGTCTGAGCAAAGACCATTGCCCCAGGAGGGCCCTAGAGAGCCACTGGTAGCCTTTCAAAAGGAATGTAAAGCTGAAATTCTTGACCTCTTGAGGTTCTTGGTACTCCAAGGATATTTTTCAATAGAAATGAGATCATATCCTTGGCCTCCTAGGTCAATTTCAAGCTGCCTCCTGCCTATTTAAATTGCAGCAGCTTTAGAGAGATAGCAGTCTTTGGTGAGTGAGCCAAGGACTCATATCATTTGTAAAGTACTTATACTTGAAAGGTTCTGTAAATTCAGAACATTATCATCAAGGCACTCAGTTAAGAACATCAAAAACTATTGGAATTTTAAAATAGTAAAAGAAAAAATGTTATTCTCTAGAGTGCTGCTAAAAAGAGGAAACCTCTAAATCTAGGGACATTTGAAGAGCCTCAGTGAAATGCTTCAATTAGCAATGGCAAGGCCTGAGGTTTATTCTCATAGAGATGGGAATACTCCTCCACTAAACAAAGTGCACTCAGTTGACCACACTAGAAATAAATTCTGTTCACAGAGGACTGTAGTTATGACTTCAAATAGTACATGCGTTCTGCAGAACTGAACTATGATATTTGAGCAAGGTAGAGTGCATTTTCTTTCCTCATCATTTGTAAGAAATCAGTGTCCATAAATTAAAAACTGGCAACTGAAGATGGTGATGGACAATGATTCATAAGCCCTGAGCTGTTTTGGCATTTCTTCCTTGGTCCTTCTATTACACAGCAAATAAAATACACAATAAGATCACAAGACAGGAAACAAAGTGTTGGGGTGGGGAAGGAGAGAGAGACAGACCTCTGCTTATGTAAAGAACAATGTAACCAACCTTCAGCCTAAGAGCAAAACAGAGAAGGATGGATTCCTTTGAGCTAACCATAATAAACGTAATGGTAAATACTGCAAGAACAAAAAGCTTTGGGGCCTCTGTGTAAGGGAAAATAGTGTATCTCCACTATTATACAGCAATATCTACCATGGTTTGATGTTTTCAAAGTGAAAAAAGTTGTTTCAGTGGTGTAGGTAATTCTTAAAAGCTAGGTCCTCACAGTTGCTTTGGGATTCAAATTTTATCCTGATTCTGCTTTTGGCAAGTTGTTTAACCTCTCAAAGTCTCAATTTCTTCAATTATAAAAATGAATAAAATTATATAAAATATGTTGTTGTGAGGAATAAATAAAGTTAAGTGCTTACTTTATTGCCTGGCACATGGTATGTGACCAAATTCATCATTTATCGTGATTATTGTATTGTTATTACTTGTATTACCAACTTTGCTGTGAATGTAAAATTTTTTTGTAAGTATAAATGTTGGGAGAGTTTTAGCACAGTTTTTCACACCAATTGGACCTGCCTTGAACTTTCGCATTTGACAACTTGTAAAATGTCCTGATTTTTCACAATCAGTTCTGAAAGTAGTTTACGTTCACAGTGATACTTAGGATCCTAAAAAAAAAACCAAAAACACCTCTGATCTTGACTTCACATATTTTAACAATAGCCACCAAGTTCACTATTGTTATTCTAGCACCTGTCAGTAATTTAGGAGCAGCTATTGGAATCACAGTGTTGTAATATCAGTCCAAAGTTACCATTACACTTATAAGTATTTTCAACACTGCAGATATTCAAAGAACAAAAACTCCAAAGTGGGAAAAATAAAGAGAGTGAAATGAAAGTTATTGTGTATGAGAAACTGCAATGAATTGCTTTCTTAACCCATGATCTAACTTTGATGATCCACTCAATAGATCTGACACCTCACCTCTTAAACACTTGCTACGTGGCTCACCTTAGCTTTTAATGATCATTTCAGACTGTTTTCAAGTCTCTGATATAAACTACTAACAAATTCCTGGACTTTTTAATTGCATCAGTTCTAGGCATATACATGCTAGACAAAATTCTGCCACTCTTTCTAGAATTAGTCATGACCAGCTTTGTGAAAAGTGAGCATTGAGTGAACAGAAAATACAAAATGCCAAAATTCATTTGTTTATTTTTACAAAATCTAAGTGAGTGTCTACGGTTTATATAAATAAAATTCAAAACATGATTAGATTAGCAATTTTTAATTCAACAGTTGGTTATCCATAATTGACTCAGTATAGAGTCCTAAAGATTTCCTTGCTTAAAACTTAGCTGCTGCTCAGTACTCCTCTTGTTGCTTTTGTTTTCCTCTTGAATGGGACCTCATTGAACTCATGCAACTTCTATTGATCTCAAAAAAAAAAAAAAGAAAAAAAAATCAACAAGGAATAGACTACTGCAATATTTGAGACTCAAATGTGATTTTAATAGCACAATTTTTAGTTCAACTTCAATAACTAGGATGTAAATTTTTTTAAAAGGGTTACTTCCTAAATGTGAATCCTAATTCTCATTTCCCTTCAACTTTTAGTCAAATGTTTCTGTTTTGATATATGCAATTAAAATATTCAAGATTTTAAAGCAATCATTCTGAGAAATTTTCATTTTCTCTTCTACTGCCACTTTTAAAGTAGCTGTGTATGTCAAATTCACTGCCAATTGAACATCACTTATGTATTCTAATACCTCAGGCTCAATTTATTTTTTAATTTCCCTTTGCATTTTTCATTACCTGCCATGCCATACACTAACCTAACATATCCTAAAGAGTTTATAGTGCTTGTTGGAGTATGGATAAAATTCCTAATTAAAATGAAGTCACTATTTTGAATATATTCCTAATAGTAAATTCTGTCCTTAATGATTAAAAATTGTAGTTCTGTACTCAAAGGTTACTTTCTTTCCTGTAGCATAATGAACTCTTTTCCTTAGCCTTTACCTTTTACCCAGAAAATTGTGGAATTTTGTGATGCAATTAAACTTCTTTCCCATGACCTTGACCTTTCAAGAAGACATCTGACATGACCACAATGGGAACTTATTACAATGTAACATTTGAACAGTTGGTCAAAAAATAACATATTATTATCTATAAAGTGTTCAGAGATGTAGATTTAAAAATTATTTTGAAAAATTAGTTCAGGATTACTGAAATTTAAGAAAAGTCCAAAAGGGGTAAAATGAGAGTCAAAAATTTGTCATGGATAGTCTAATATCTCAAATTTATCACTTAGGTTTCAAATGACAGGTTGATACTTCCTGTGTATCAAAAAACTCTTTGTAGATTTTGCCCAAAAGAGAAAAATTAACAATCAGCTCTCTTCCCGATATGAATGCACGAAAATATCCAAAAACATATTTGTTCAATATTTCACTGATCAAATCTGCCAATTTATAATGTAAAGTGTATTTATTCATTCATACAGTAAACAATATTAATTCATATAATAATGACTGACATATAATAATAGTAGGAATAGCTAAATATGAAATTAGAAAACAACTTTTATTATAAGGTTTTTGTGAGGTTTAAATAGGTTAGGTCTTGTGAGACTTTTATAAATAATTTGCTGCTACCATAATTTTCATTTTTTGTTTTGCTTTTGAGAAGAGAGATAGGGATGATGGAGGGCAAGAACTGGGAGGAACAAAAATGGGTGGTAAGAGGAAAGGAGAGTGTAATAAGAGCTAGTAAGATAACAGCTTACATCAAATGAGAGAGAGAGAGAGAGAGAGAGAGAGAGAGAGAGAGAGAGAGATCATATGATTATATTTCACTTGGACAAATAAGAAAAGAATTAGAGAAGCAGATTTATTTCCTTTGGTTTGAGGGCCTAATTGTAGATAAGGCCTATTATTTTTTTCATTCTATTTTGTTGCTGATTGGCACAATATACCACTCAAACATGCTAAATAATACTTTCAGTCTATTTTAATTATAAGATGACATTTCCTCTCTTAATGTCCTACTTAGTAGCTTGACAGAAAGTTTCTACTCTTCTCAAATAAACTCATCCTGAAATATCTTTGGAGCTCTCCATTATGTAATGTCTAAATTGCGTAATTGGCTGTAGTTCTGAAAATAATCTTTAGATGATGATTCATTTAGATGAATATGGTGGAATTCAGCTGGGCCCAGAGAAACTTTTCAGGGAGAAAATTAAATTTTCCTCTAATTATTGTGACTGCTTTCTTATAGAAAAATGCATGTTTGATCATTTTTGTACACTTAATATATGTAATCAATTTCAAAGTATGATATTATCATTATTGACCACAGTATATTTATTTAATACCAAAACTATGTTAAAAGTAAGAAAAAAGATTACTTTTAGATGGATGGTAAGTCATAGCACTACAAAATTATAACTCATCTGAAATCTACTTATAAAATTTCACATTTCAATTAAGGGTTAAACAGGAAAAAAGTAGGCTTGACAATGAAATTGGCAAACACAGTTCTAAAATTTCTTGTAACTTAAAATATGTGGAAACAAAATAATTTAAGAGGAAGCCTTTTAAAACCAGCAAGTGAAGGACCATGATGGTTTTCAAAAACTATGGAAAACTAATAGGTATTGCCTGGGGAGTGGCTTCTTAAAAGTATATTTTTCTACTCCCACCCCTATGCAAAATTCTAATATACAACCCAGAGCAAAATTGTGAAGTGACATGAGGAAAGTGAAAAAATTTCGAAAGATAATTTTCACCTATTTCTATTCTCTCCTCCCAGCTTGAGATTCGAAATCTTGAATATCATGTATTTTGAAATCCAATAAGGATGGATACAATTACAGCTCAAGTAAACAGATTACATAACCTAATTCAAGCCAATTTAATTTGATTAGCCTCATTTCCTTCAGGTATAGAATGGCAATTGCAATATCTACATCAGAGGATTGTTAACATAAACAATAGTGGTTAGTTTTTAATGAACATTTTTGAATATTCACTATGATGCCAGACACCATGCTAAAATAATTCACTTATATGCTGTCTGGATTATATGATCTAATGCACATAAAACTAGTTTGCAGCATGTCTGGTATATGGTAGGCAGTAAATTGCTAGTTTGTTTTCCTTTCAAGTATTATACAAATAGTATTACAAATGAATACAAAGAAGCACCTTTTGTGAACACATATGCTAGTTTGGAGACAGACTTATAAATAGTTAAAGAAAACATCATGAAGTTAAGTGCTCTTATACTGATAACCACAAAGATCAGAGGCAACAGAGAGAAGGGAATAATCAGACAATTGTACTTTAACACAGTACTTCTGTCTTTCCATTTCATTTTGTCTTCTTTTCTGCTCATTACTTCAACAAAATGTTCAAAGTTATGAGTGAGTGCAACTTTGTAGTAGATGAAAGTATATTTCATTTCATTCCCTTCCTTTCTCACATCAAGTTCTCATTCCAAAGTTGCTATAAATTGGTCTAAGCAAGATAATGATGTAGCTCCTTTTGTCTGCATTAGGTTTAGTACTACATTGCTCTTAATTATATTGTGGGTAAAACCTACACCAGGGAGATTGCCTATTGGAGATAACAGAGCAAGGGTGCATTATGTAGGAGACAATCTCTTTTAATGAATGAAATTAGTATTTACCAAAAATGTAATCAATAAATTTGTCAGTGAATGAACATATAAAAACAAACAAACCTTGTTTTGCCACCTGTAATTCTTTTTGGACATTGGTAAAATTTTCTTACTATCTATAATCTTAGAGAAAGATTTATGTCAGATAACATAACACAATTTGTTGTCTTAGAAATACTCTTTATGTTATGTAAGCCATGACTAAGGATGAGAAATAAAGAAATTCTTATCCTTATGCATCATCTAGATACTCAAATATTATGGTTAATTTAGCCAGCAACCTTTAAATTTTTGGTGATCCAAAGATAAGGCCATTTATATTCTTGGCATATTAGCCTTTTATTTATTTGCCATCCATCATTTTAATTCAGAAAAAAAAATTCTCAGAACTCTGCCATAGAAATAATTGGCTTCTTTCTAGGCGATGCTGACTCCATTGATGGACTCAGACAAAGCACAGGATGTTATTTTTCTGTTTGTCTGTTTGTTTGTTTTGCTTTCTTCTCTATAGACCATACCGATGACTTACTTTCTGCTCCTATGTCCTCATTCCTTAACCAATATCACCTCAGGCAAAGACTTCTCAATGCAACTTGGAGATCTTTTTAGAAGTATAGTTTTAAAACTTTGCTAAAAGTATGTATAAGTATTTTACCATATATAAGATTACGTGAGGAATATGTTAAAAATTCAGATTCTTGGAAATCATCCCCATAGCATCTGATTCATCTGATATGAGATGGACCATGAAATCTGTGATTTTAGCAGGTACTGCAGATTTCCTTTCATCGAACTACTCGCTCCTAAGAAACATGACTCTAGAGAATGGAAAATCCTCTCTTCAGTTTTATTATCCTCTATTTGGATAATAGGACATTTCCATAGCTTCTAGCACCATGTTACTGCTTTCTTCCCACAATCACAATTATACTCATGAAATTTACCATCCATTTTGATGAGATTTCTAATACTCTAGTCTCAACATTTTTCAGATGCCAGTCAGAATCTTTAAAAGCTATATTTCAGGGTTTAGTACCACCCTTAATCATTGCAAAATTTTACATTTTTAATTTAAAAATATTCTTTTCATATGAAAACATTTTATCCTCACTTTTTCATTTTCTAAATGAAGTGTTTGTTATTCCCACTCCATAAAAAAAGTCCTCTTTCATGCTGTTCTTATTTAGTCTCTCAGTCACAAATAGAGACTGCAATTATTCAATTGTATTTGGACCTTGTACTTAGCATTTATTTCACATCATAGGTATCTACTACTCACCTCATTTTGTAAAGCAAATGAGGCTCAAAGAGGTTAAGAAACATATCTAAGGACATTCAGCAGGAGAAGAAATATGGAGTCTTCTAAAACCATGTTTATATCACTCCAAAACTCTTAAACTGACTAGCAGAACTTTCTATTCAACTCAGATAATTTGGTCAACACATTTTCTTGTCTTTCCTGGACTTTCCACGACACCCATCCATTTTTGTTAGATATGTTGACTTCATTGTGCCTTTTATCAAAATTCATAATAAATCATGACCTAAATCTTCTTTTTGTATTTGAAAACCATCTTTTTTCTTCTATTTAGCACTTGTCATAGCCAGTCTTCTGCTGGAGTTATTTATGTATGGGAGTTTCCACCCAACCAAATTGTGAATTCCTGGACCAAGAAGTAGGGTATAGTAAGAAGTCAAAAGATCTTACATATCATATTCTAGCATTTACCTGGCCATATATTCTTGACAAGTCTCAATGACTTGTTTATTATCCATAAAAATTAATATTATATACCATATAGTATTATGATAAGGATTAAATTATATTTGATATATGATGTTTCTAGAACAATAGCTCCTTGAACATACTGGTTTTCAAATTCTGGACTGTAAGCTATATAACTGACATTGATTTCTGTCCCTCAGCCCCAATCAAATTATCAAAAAGATCATATTTGTTGCATTTTGTGGGAATTTAAGAAAAGTCAGGTGTAGCATGTGTTGTTAAAACACTTGTTAGTTAGCTAAGTGTAGTGGAGTATACCTATAACCCAGCTATTTGGAAATGTGGAAGACTGTGAGTTTGAGGCCAGCCTAGGCAAAATTTAGTGACTATATCTCAAAAACAAAATACAAATCAAAGTGTTCTAGGGGCATGGTTCTTAATGGTAGAGCTCTTACCTATCACATGTGAGGCCCTGGATTCAATCCCTAGTTCAAATAAAACAACTAGTAGTTGATGTGGTATAAGAAAAACCTACATCTGAAGTCCATTGTTAAGCCTAATCCTTAAAAGTATGTGAGTAATTTCAGGTAACTGACATATTTTCCTAATGCTGCCTAAATAAAAAGTAAGAATAAATAAATGATGCTTTGGCTTTATGAAGTTGAGGAACATTTCTTCAATTTGATCCCATTCCATTCAGCATATTTATTTGATTCACAAAGAGTTAGAATGTTTGTGATTAAATTCTACACTCATATTACTTCCAACAAAATAAATATGCATTTATAAATCTTCTATACCAAAATGTCAGTCACATCTCTTATCAGAATTTCAAATATTTTCCTGTGTCTGAGTATAACATGATGTTACTTGGAAAAGTGGTATCCCAATGGTATTTTATGACAAATGTATCATTTTGGGCCAAATGGAGAGAATCAACTGTTTCCCAAACCATAAACTGAATACTTGTGAAGGTCCTATCAGTTCTGTTGATAAAGTTCAGATAAACTATATGATATGTGAATGATTTTATTAGCTAGTTATATGAGATTTATATATTTACTGTACCTGAAATTTATTTTGAAAAATATAATGTCATTTGGTCATTTCTTTCCATTTGTTTTCTAAGTAAAATGGAGGGAATTCTTCACCCCTCACCATACACACACCCATGAGTGCATTACATGAAACAACACCCTAAAATTAGACATGACAAATTGGCTTACGTCTAATGTTTCCTCAGTCAGACAGCTATCTTCAACAAACTGCATCTAATTTCTCAATGCCAGATTCAATTTCTCCAGAAGGTTGTTTGTAAATATAAGGATCCAGCGCCTTTTTTCTGAATATGTGTCTTCCGAGGTTGTGACACTATGCCAGATCATTATTCTCTTGTTATGAAGAAAAAAACCCATTAAATGCCTGAAACCAATATCATGTTATAGGATTATTCAGGTGAAAAATGATACTCATTTCCCTTAAGGGACAAACTTTCAATGTCAAGAGAACAGAGGGTTTGTTAAAATTGGGTTTACCCTAGTAACCCAAAGAGAACATTGTGACCAATCTACCACCACGGTGTGGGAAGAGCAATCTTGCTATTTGTTGCTGGCATAGATTACAAGAATGACCTAATTCCAGAGAATATTATTCCAATAACAGCTAGCATTCAAAGGCTAGTCCTTAGCTTTCTCTCTTTTTAAACTTTAGTTGGAGGAGAATGCAAGTCATATATATATATATATATATATATATCACATAAACATGTACAGCTAAAAACAAGATGAATAATGAAGACACTTAAACAAAGAAGTAATAATTTTGTCAACCTTACCCAAATATATGCCTTAGTTCTGTAAATTCTTTTTCCTTGGTCTGCAGATCATCTTCTAATCTTCCTACTATAATAACATAAGTTTCACTTTCTTCTTCCATTCATCTAGCAAAGAAAAACAAATGGGATTGATTCATAGCTGTGTTTCACAAAATGTCGACACAGATAACAACACACAAGTAATCAAAACTCTGTTTTTTATTCTTGATTCTACAATACTTAATTTAAATTACTGATTGTGAGTTTAAATGCAGATGTTTATACTTAAAATGCAATCTTATTGAATGTAGTAATTAAGAACCCATTTTATATTCCATAATATATTTACATACAAGAATATATTTGACTTATTTCATTTGATTTTATTGCATTTTAATTACAGCAATCTCAAGTTGCTAGACAGCATTTTTAGGTTTTTAAATACTAAATACTTAATATATAATTCTAAAATCTGTATATCCAGCAGTACCCCAAATTTTTCTATAACATTATAGCAAAGAACTAAAACAATGTTTTTAAAGAAATTTTCTGTTTTATAAAAATCTTTCTGAGAAAAATAATTCAGATAACATCCCAAATATTTGATATTCTATGTATACAAATTAACACATACCCCAGTGAGTTATTAGTTATTTGTAACTGTAATTGAAACATGTTACTTTTAAGGAAGTAAGAATAATTATCAGTACATGTTTGGGTTGGTCTAGATTTATAATTTCCCATTTGTTAGTAGTTTTTGCTTTTTCTCCAGTGCAGTTCTTCAGGTTACAAGATTCCAAGTTCAAGTGTAGAGACAGTGCAGTTGAAAAATTCTTTGATAGTCTGGCTAAAAATAAGCCAACCACCAAATGGAATGTCATGCAACAATGACAACCAATGAAATAGTGTGTGCTTTCAAGAGTGAACACATAAAGGGAACGAATCAGTTTATTTAAAAGAACTGCATAAAATATAATAAATGCTTCAATAAGATTATTTGCTTTCATCATTTGATTACCTATCCCTACATATCTCTACAGGCTATTTAATAGATTAAAAAGTGATTCCGTAGAATGTGATCATCACTAAAAGCTGTTGAAACTACCTACATCTTCTTTCAGGATCTTTTTCTCCTTTGTCAAAATAATGGCAGTTGGACAAGTATGATTGGTTATAGAATTTGTCTGTATCAAAGAATAATGGAAACTTATACATTTATCATGTAACAAAAAGAAATGAATGTGGTTTTGCTTAAGTATGAGCTTCAAAATTATATTTGTAGAAAGAAGTTCTTAACATAGACCATGATTATTCCAGTGGATTATTCTGTCATAAAAATCATAGATAAGAATCTAAGACACTGAGTTTGACAAAATAATAAGAACAATAAGGTTAAGGATAAAAAGATTAAATGTTTGTCATAATATAGACACTAGCCTAAGGGCTTTACAACTATTTTGTCACTATTACTTGATACAATCTTGCAAGGCAGATATTATTCACATATTATAGATGAGAAAATCAAGAGTTGCTTGCAGGTAGTAGAATCTGAAATTAGTTCTGAGATTATTTGACTTTAACATCCAAGATAGATATTATTATTGGTATTCTCATCTCTTTATATATGCATATTTCTACTGATATAAATAAATCCTGAGTATTATAGAGTATATGAAAAATCCAGCAAGAAAGTTAACAGATTTTAAACAGTTAACTTCTCCCAGATAATCTTATTATACCTAGAAGGTATACATTTTGATCTTGAAATTCACCCCCAGAAGCTATAACTTTAATAAGTATGGATTTCATAGTTACTATAGTTGGATATTCCAATAATTCTCCCTTCTTTAATCAAATGCTTAGATAAATTCCTGATTCCTCACACCTTCTTCTCAGCAAAGGTTATCGAAGTTCCAATGGAATGGGCTTCCATACTGGTAAGGTATAGTTGAAGAAGTCAGTATTGGTTTCATAGACATCCATGTCTTGCTTGGTTATAACCTTCTCGTCTCTCCTCATTTAGCACCTGCCTGTCAAGGCTGTTGATAGCTGCTCTGTTGCAGGAGCTTCTGGTCACTTCAGCCTATATATTTTCATTCTCCTTGCTTGAAGGCCAGATACTTTCAGTCCCATCACCTTTCTCTCAGTTCTGTGTGACTCTCATTTCATCACTTTGGAAATTCTTTGCTTTTATCAAGTCCATTAACCCAGGAACTAGACCTCCTTAATGTTTCTCTATGTTGACTATACGGGATAGTCTTCTTTAAGAGGCTTGCACACTCGCAGAGCTACATCTTGGAAAGCAATGTACTAGCTCTCTCTTCTCTCAGATTTCCCTAAAACAACCCATGATTTGTATACCTTGAGTCTGCAGAAATAGGGGTAGGAACAGAGATCTAGGCCTTTAAGAAAACATCTAAATCTATTTTCCTTGATCTTTTTTCTTACTTCTCTTTCATTTCAAATATTTCATCAGAGTGTATTCTTGTGTATGTTTATTTCCTCACATTTGAGAAAAAAACTAGCTCTTGCTTACATTTTTTCCAATTTCCTGCTTGGGATATAAATCTGAGACACTACTTAGGATTTTCAAAAATAACCTTATTCTCCCCAAAGTCTGGAACTAATAAATTAAAGCTTTGGCATTGAAAACTATTATTTCTGCTATAAGTATGAAAATAAGTCAGCAACTAAATTGAATTCTCCCATGTTCTGAGGCAACAAATGTTATTGAAAAAAAGGAAAATAGCAAAATAAGAAATATAGGAAGTGAAAATGTCAATAATTATTGCAATATTGATCATTATTAAACTACAATTTTCTAGTTCTAATGGAGCAATCTTTATAAGCCCCTTCTAAGAACGTAAGTATAGGTAATGGGCTAAGGAAAGTGGAGTAATTCTGCCACCTTCATCAGGGTTAAAAAAAAAAAGACTGGGGTAGTAAAGGGACTATATAGGAATTTGTACTTGATGTTCCATTTTTTTCTGAAAAACTTAATAGAAAACATCTATTAATTTTAAAAATTAAAAAAATGAAAGAAAATTATAATTTCTTAGTTAGATCATTTGAGCTTTTCAAGGAAAGTTCATGATTTATAAAGAAAAGTCCAAAGAGTTTATGATTAATAGTAGTATTTCACTTTTCTTTTATATTTGCTTGCTTTTTCCATTCAAAAATGTCAGTGTGGATTTAGTTAATACATTACTTCTTCAATGATTCCTTTTTGACTCAACTTCATGTTCTACTGAATTAACTGAATCCAGCATTAATGCATCCATCTTCTCAAGTTATTTATCAGGCTACCTCTGCACAGAAATAATATGTTCTAACACTCTTTCAATCATCATATTTACATTCTTTTTGAATTTCTTTATTTTGAGTTCATATGATTTATTTATTCCAACCTGCCCTTATGCATCTGCTATTTATATTTTATACAGGTTTCTTCATAAATATTGAAAAGAATGCTTTCAAGATGAAAAGACAAAAATTAACCTTGACACAGTCTACCTTTCTTTACAACAGAAAAATTATAAAGAACTTGTATTCCATGTAATCAAACTGATGTGCCTGAAACAATTCTTATCACATTTATGGCATGATTTAATTTAAATTTAAAATGTAGATCATTCTTTCATTCATATTTATATATTACAAGTATTACAGAGACCTATATTTTCAATATGCTTTATCTGGTTGACAAGCAACTATGATAATCATTGCTTGAAACACAAGAAATTAAAGTCACTATTGTTTATATTTAATTTTTTTCTCTTTCTTTTTGATAAGCTTTAAATGATTTATATTGTAACAAAATCATTTAAAACAGAAATTGACCGTTGCCTAAGATACCTATACTATTCAAGTTTTCAAAATAATTTAATTAATTTGTTTTTAAGTAATATGTTTCTGCATTTAGACAAGCATAATTCATAAAATACATATTTGGCAAACATATTTCCTTTCTTTTCAACTAGAATATCTAAATTTATAGTGTGATGGATGGAGCTATAAATTGCCAGCATGAATCTGAATATCACTGAAGAAGTATTCAGATTAATCCTCAAAAATAAATGGAACTTGGGAATCTATCATAATGAAAATAAATGTGAAGAAATCACTACTAGTGTAATTTAAACAGGTATTTGCAGTATCTCTGTGAGAGTATATTAAAGGAAAAACAACATTACTATTGTTGTTTCTTATATAATACAATGGCAAATCATAAAATTTAAACTTTTGTGTGTCCTGCTTTGTTGGTAGGTGAGCATGAAGTAAAGTTTATTAAAAAATATAATCTCAACAGGATAAAGAGTCACATCTTATCATTTGCTAAAACTTTCTTTTTTATGTTGAATGACTTTTTCAGTTGCAGCTCATTGAATGATTGATTCATTTATCCACTCAACAAGCATGTATTGTACCAATTATTCCAAAGAGCTTAAGGGGGCCAGGATAGACAATCCTTGTCCTATGATAGAGAAATATATAAATATATATATATATATATATATATATATATATATATATATATGTATGTATATATGTACATATATATATGATTGGTAACAAGAAGGTGCATCTAATAAAGCCTAGAGTCTAATCAAAAGAAGTTCCTTTGAAGCATTAAACATTTAGAATAATCTAAACTCTGTGACTTAGGCCAATTCCATTCCTCTTTCATATTTCCATTTTTCCTCCTATGGGTTGACTTACTAAGGAAACAGCTACAATTATAGTTCAATAAATAACTAAGTATTCTTTTAGGCAAATAACATTTTCATGCCTGAGGTTCCTCATTCACAGAACAACAACAACAACAAAAACAGGTGGAAGATAGAAACAAAATTAATTAGTTCTACTTTTATTGAGCTAGTTTTCTTTTCAATTACCAAATATTCATCTGAGGCTATCCCTCAAAGTTAAAAGAAACCTAATTTGATGTAGGAGGGACAAATTATTCCAAGGTTCCAAAAGTGGGACTACATAATATGTGATTGTTAGAGAATCCACAAACATGTAGCTAACTGTTATGCAGCTAATTATTTTATTTAAATGAACAGATTTTGTGAGGCCCACACCTTGCTGATTCAGTGACTGTTTCCATGTTGCTTCACATGGCAGACTCTTGTGTTGCACGGTGCTAGATCTGCTGAAATATCCTGTGGGCCCCAAAAGATTGAGAACTCAGCCATGGCAGTCCTTTTACTTTGGGGGAAAGACCCATGCCTACTTTTCAAATGTTGAAGGCCCTGGAAAAGAAGAGCATTATCAAAGCCCCATGTCTCAGGTTTTATGCCTGGTCTTGAGTTAGCCTGCTCAGTGTTCTCTATGACCAGTTCCTTGCTTAGCTCCTTCCAGAAGAGGCAGTCTAGTAAGCAGTCTTTTTAAGCACAGTTACAATTATTTTTGTCACAGCTTGTCTTAAATCTTCTCAGCAGCAGAATGGATATCATTCTACATGTATTTCTATTCCCTCTGGTCATCCTGTAGATGCAGAAGTGGCATCTGCATTACTCATGTACTCAAAGGTAAAGATCTCCCTTCCATTCACACTGTGCATGCAGCTCTGCCCTCCGCTAACCAGAGATAACGTTGACTCAATAACACATTGTTTTTGACCATTTTATACTTTAGTTGTGGAACGAGGCCATCCCCCTTAATGGAAAATTTTACACATATAATCTTGGGTATCCTGAATAAAAATTAAAAGTAATGTGAGGAGTTATTTTAACAGGACC